GAGGTCGTGGTCAGGGGTTCCAACCAGGTGACAACGCCAAGGGTGGGAGGTGGGGGGAGAGGCCCGAAGGAGGAAGGTGACGTCTCTGTTGCTGCTCCTGCCCTGGCCATCGGCTGCGGGGCCCCCCCGGGAAGAGGGAGTCCTGCGGCTGGTCCCTGGTACTGTCCTCCCGCCTGCCATGGCTCTGCCGCTCAGCCCAGCTACTGGCAACGACCCTGTCGGGTCTGAAAGGGGGAGGTCTCAAAGATAACGCACTAGTTTCCTGAAAAGTCAGTTAGGGGGAAGAGGGGTGACTTTAGCATCCCACAGAGCAAGCGCCGTGGGTACTGTGTCACTGCTGTTTGACGGAGACGAGCCAAGCGGTGAACGTGGGGAGAGCTCGGCAATGCCAGACCACGGGGGAGGGCATGGGGAGGAGGGATGAGGTGTGATGCCCGGCTGATTGTGGGACAGCCCGGTTTGGCAGAGCCTCCTTCACGGGTAACCAGGACACCAGGCTCCTCAGGGTACCCAAATCCGTCACGCACCTCGGGCAGCTGCTGAGGGGGAGGTTGGTGTTAAACCTGCGCTGGGTCTCTACCCCTGCAGCTCCAGTCCCGGGTCCCGGAGTCCCTGCTGCACTTCGCCCAGTGCGTCAGAGAGCTGCTGCTCTTCTGGGTGCAAAGCTCCCTCCTGCCGCTGCTGGAGTGCGTGGCCGCCGCGCTGGAGCGGGGCTGGAAGCACTGCCTGGACTCCTGCAAGTGAGCATCCTCCCCATCCTCGAGCCCCTGGCGCTGCAGGCTCCAGTCAGGCTCCGCTCTCCCCCCGGGATGCTCCCTGGGCCCAGTGCTGCCCTGTGGCTGCGGCGGGGTCAGTCCTTCGGTACGGCAGCAGAGTCTTTTGCCATCCTGGCTGGGGGTGACTCCTGGTCCTGCTCTGGCAGAGGGGCTGGGACATGGCACTGCAGCCACGGCGATCGACCTGCGGTCCTGCAGAGAGCTTGTACCCCCCTGGGAGCGGCATTTGCCGCGCAGGCAGCTGCCTCTGCCACAGAACTGCAGCCACTCTGGGCTCTGCACCCGCTGAAGTCTCACCCCTGTCCCTGACTCCTGCTGGGCCCTGGGAGCAAGGCCACCCATGGGTGTCTGAGCTGAGCATCACCCCCCTGCTGCTGCGAGGAGGAGGGAAGGAACCAGGGTATGGTACACACCTGCTCTGGCCCCGGAACCGGCTCCGTGCTCCTGGCAGAGGGTGGGAGATG